CCCTACAACTGGAACAAGTAGAAAGAGAACAGCAAAAGAAGCCCTCGGGCACCAGAAGAAAGCAAATAATAAAAATTAGAGAATTAAATGAAATAGAGAACAGAAAAACAATGGAAAGAATTAACAAGACCAAAAGCTGGTTCTTTGAAAAGATCAACAAAATTGATAAACCACTGGACAAACTGACGAAAGAAAAACAGGAGAGAAAGCAAATAACCTGAATAAGAAATGTCATGGGCGATATCACAACAGACCCAAATGAAATTTAACGAATCAAAAATAACAGAATACTATGTAAAATTGTACTCTAACAAATTTGAAAACCTAGAGTAAATGGACAAATGTCTAGAAACACACTACCTATCTAAACTAACAAAAACAGAGGCAGAACAACTAAATAAACCTATAACAAAAGAAGAAATTGAAAAGGTAATTAAAAAACTCTCAACAACAACAAAAAAAAAAGCACTGGCCCTGACAGTTTCACTGGAGAATTCTACCAAATTTTCAGAGAGGAGTTGACACCACTACTACTAAAGGTATCTCAGAGCATAGAAAAGGATAGAATACTCCCAAACTCATTCTATGAAGCCAGCATAACCCTGATACCAAAACTAGGTAAAGGCACCACAAAAAAAGAAAATTACAGACCAATACCCCTCATGAACATAGACGCAAAAATCCTCCACAAAATTTTAGCCAACAGAATTCAACAACATATCAAAAAAATAATTCACCATGACCAAATGGGATGCACACCAAGTATGCAGGGATGGTTCAACATTCAAAAAATAATCAATGTAATCCATCACATAAATAAAACAAAAGAACCACATGATCTTATCAATCGATGCAGAAAAGGTATTCTCAAAGTCCAGTACCCATTCATGATAAAAACTCTCAGCAAAATAGTAATAGAAGGGAAATTCCTCAACATAATAAAGGGCATTTATACAAAGCCAATAGCCAACATCACTGTAAATGGAGTCTGAAAGCATTCCCCCTTGAGAACGGGAACCAGACAAGGATGCCCTTTATCACTACTCTTATTCAACATTGTGCTGGACGTTCTAGCCAGAGCAATCAGGCTAGAAAAAGAAATAAACGGCATGTAAATTGGTAAGGAAGGAGTAAAAGTATCTCTATTTGCAGATGACATGATCTTATACACAGAAAACCCCAAAGAATCCACAAGAAAACTACTGGAGCTAAGAGAAGATTTCAGCAAAGTTTCAGGATACAAGATAAACATACAAAAATCAGTTGGATTCCTCTGTAACAATAAAGAGAACTTTGAAGAGGAAATCACCAAATCGATACCATTTACAATAGCCCCCAAGAAGATAAAATACTTAGGAATAAATCTAACCAGAGACACAAAAGACCTATACAAAGAAAACTACAAGACAGCACTGCAAGAAACCAAAAGAGACCTGCATAAGTGGAAAAACATACCTTGCTCATGGATAGGAAGACTCAACATTGTGAAAATGTCTGTTCTACCCAAAGCCGTCTACAGATACAATGAAATCACAATCCAAATTCCAATGGCATTTTTTAATGAGATGGAGAAACAAATCACCAACTTCATATGGAAAGGGAAGACACCCCAGATACATAAAGCATTACTCAAGAAGAAGAAGAAAGTGGGAGGCCTCATGCTACCTGATTTTAGAACCTATTATACTGTCACAGTAGTCAAAACAGACTGGTACTGGTACAACAACAGATACATAGACCAGTGGAACAGAATTGAGAATCCAGACATAAATTCATACACCTATGAGCAGCAGATATTTAATAAAAGCCCAAAGTCTGTTAATTGGGGAAAAGACAGTTTCTTTAACAAATGGTGCTGGCATAACTGGATATCCATCTGCAAAAAAATGAAACAAGACCTATACTTCATACCATGCACAAAAACTAACTCAAAATGGATCAAAGACCTAAATACAAAATCTAAAACAATAAAGATCATGGAAGAAAAAATAGGGACAACACTAGAAGCCCTAATACATGGCATAAACAGAACACAAACCATAAGTAACAATGCACAAACACCAGAAAAGAAACTAGGTAACTGGGAGCTGCTACAAATCAAACACTTATGCTAATCAAAAGACTTCACCAAGACAGTTAAAAGACAACTTACAGACTGGGAAAACATACTTGGCTATGAAAAATCTGATGAGCGTCTAATCTCTAAAATCTCTGAGATACTGCAAAACCTCAACAACAAAAAGACAAATAACCCAATTTAAAGACAGGCAAAGGACATGAACAGGCACTTCATCGAAGAAGACATTCAGGTACATGAGGTAATGCTCACCATCATTAGCCATTAGAGAAATGCAAATCAAAACTATAATGAGATACCATCTCACCCCAACAAGGCTAGCATTACTCCAAAAAACACAAAATAATAAATGTCGGAGAGGTTGTGGAGAGACTGGAACACTTATACACTGTTTGTGGGAATGTAAAATTGCATAACCACTTTGGGAAATCAATTTGGCACTTCTTTAAAAAGCTAGAAATAGAAGTACCATATGATCCAGCAATCCCGCTCCTTGGAATACATCCTAGAAAAATAAGCCATCACACAAATAGATATGTGCACACCCATGTTCACTGCAGCACTGTTCAGGATAGCAAAAAGATGGAAACAACCTAGATGCCCATCAATGGACGAATGGATAAACAAATTATGGTATATACACACGATGGAATACTACACAATGATGAATCTGTGAAACATCTCATAACATGGATGAATCTGGAAGGCATTATGCTGAGGGAAATTAGTCAGACGCAAAAGGACAAATACTGTATGAGACCACTAGTATAAGAACTCAAGAAAAGGTTTAAACACAGAAGAAAACATTCTCTGATGGTTACGAGGGTGCGGAGGGAGGGAGAGGGGTATTCACTAACTAGATAGTAGCTAAGAATTATCATCTTAGGTGAAAGGAAGGACAACACACAATACAGGGGAAGTCGGCACAACTGGACTAAATCAAAAGCTAAGAAGTTTCCTGAATACAACCAAACACCTCAAGGGACAGAGCTGCAGGCGTAGGGGTCCGGGGACTGTGGTTTCAGGGGACATCTAGGTCAACTGGCATAACACAGTTTATTAAGAAAATGTTCGGCATCTCACTTTGGTGAGTGGTGTCTGGGGTCTTAAAAGCTAGTGAGGAGCCATCTAAGATGCATCAATTGGTCCCAACCCACCTGGAGCAAAGGAGAATTAAGAACACCAAAGATACAAGGAAAATATTAGCCCAAGAGACAGAAAGGGCCACATAAACCAGAGACTCCATCAGCCTGAGACCAGAAGAACTAGATGGTGCCTGGCTACCACCAATGACCACCCTGACAGGGAAAACAGAAAGTCCCCGACGGAGCAGGAGAAAAGTGAGGTGCAGAACTCGAATTCTAATAAAAAGACCAGACTTAATGGTTTGACTGAGATTGGAGGGACCCCAGAAGACATGGCCCCTGGACTGTTAGCCCAGAACCAAAACCATTCCCGAAGCTAAGTCTTCAGACAATGATTAGACTGGACTATAAGACATAAAATGTTACTCGTGAAGAGAGTGCTTCTTAGCTCAAGTAAATACGTGAGACTAAATGGGCAGTTCCTGTCTGGAGGTGAGATGCTAAGGCAGAAAGGGACAGGAGGAGCTTGTTGAACGGACACGGGAAATCCTAGGTGGAAAGGAGGAGTGTGCTGTCACATTATAGGAAGAACAACTAGGGTCACATTAACAATGGTGTGTGTATAAATTTTTGTACGAGAAACTAACTGTAAACTTTCACTTGAAGCACAATTTAAAAAAAATAACTTCTCCATTTTGTGGGATTTACCCTCGTTTGCAATAAAATTCAGTTACAATAAGTTTCCATCTCCTGAAAATTATCAGACACAATACACAGATCAATATATTTAGAGATTAATTAGAATTCAGTAGAGTACATTTAACACTTAAATTATACTGAATAAAATTATATCTTTGTAAGATAATTAAGAAAGCTTTAACTTCATCATGAAGATCAAACATCTTCGCTTTGTTTATAATTTATTTGGGGTGTCTTGAGCCAATCTAGATGTTTTCATTAAAATTTAAGTCCATGTTTCTAAGAAAAAGTGAGTTCAGAATTAAAAAAAAAAAAAAAATCCTATACTTTTGGCTTTCTTGTTACACAAACTGAGTAAAATAGACACTTAGTTTATATATGTCTTTGAGTCTACCTTAAGCATGACACGAAGAGGCCACTGTAGCATACAAAAGATTAAATGTTGAGAGACAGTTACTCTTTCTTAGGGGACTAGAAGCATTAAATGAACAAATTCTCCAAACATGTTATGTCATATGCAGCCCTGAGTGGGCTGTAGTCATCTTGCAGGGGCAACTGAGGAAGTGGAGCAAACACTTGACCCAATTCAACCAACATATGACTTCCTTTGCTCTAAAAAATAAAAATGTATAACAGGAAACACCAGCAAGACCATAAACTTTGGCTGCAAACATCAATACCTACGGAAAAGTCTAAATAAATGTCCCAAGGAAAAACAGCCCCAGTCTTTAAGAGACATAGTAGATGAAAATGAAAACCATTCATTAAAACTGAAATGCTAAAGCCAAGTCAGTATTATTGTAACACACGATATGCACATCTTCCTGCCTGGAAAGCATTACAAACATCAGCTAGCTATCACATCTCTGCAAGCATCTGTAAGTCGGCATTTCAGAAAAATTGACTTCAAGTGTTTACAATCCAGATAAGGCTGGCTTCTAGAGTAGAGACCGAGAGAGGAGTCAAACATGTTTACAGGTCAGCTCTGCTCCTGTTAAGTGGCGTGGGCTGAGGTGGATGGTGGCGGACCAGGTTCCTGTGTCAGCTGCAGGTGCTGAGCTGGATCTGAAGTACTTGCAGCTAAACGGAGCTCCCCTCTTTGCTCTTGATGGGCGTGAAGATGTTCCAGGGTTTCCTTGGAGAGTGTGATTACATGCACCGGCTCTGCCTGGGAGGGTTCCATCTGGCTTTCAATCATACTGAGGCTCTGAATGTGTTCGGTTTGCTCCTGCTGCGCTGAAAGAATTAAATTCTGCAGCTGCTCTGGCTGCTGCGTGAGCAGGGTGAGATTAGCAGCCTGATCTGTGGTCATGCTCTGGGAACTCTCAGCTGTGACAATGCTGATTCCCTGGCTAGGGCCATTCATGAAATTGATGTTATGTACAGAGTCAGTTACAAGAAGCTGAATTTCTTGCTCTCCGGAGGTAGAGAGTTGATATGGCTGCAGCTGGAGAATATTCCTGACCTCTTCAGAATTATTATTGCTGGAAACGCTGCTGGTGTCTGCCACATGTTTCTCTTTGCTATGGATTTTCAAGTGAGCCTTCAAGTTGTCTAAGCGAGCAAACTGTAAATTACACTCCGGGCAGGAGAAAGGTTTTTTGCCCGTGTGTAGAATGCAGTGTCTCCTCTTGGCACTGGAGTCAGAGAAGGATTTGCCACATATACCACAGGAGTATGGCTTTTCTCCTCTACAAGAAAACAGAAATTTTATTTTCAAAATTGAAATACCTGTTTATTCCTTGCCTGATTATTTAGGGAGAAGCAGTCAAGAATAGAGAAAAATGAAATAGAAAAAATAGACTGGAACTCATAAGTCATGGGTTCTCCTACTAACTTAAGGATTTGGAGCAAGTCACAATTCTACTGGCTTCAGTTTCTAATCTAATTAGAAAAAAAAAATTAAAGTGGGGGTAGTACTGAAGAAAGCACAGCAGATGGGGTTAGATGTGATAAAATTTTATGATTCCATAGTATGTACCTTCAGATAAGAAAATAAATATTCATATACTACACATACGGCTCTTTTTTGTTTTTAGTTCTCAGCTAATTTTTAGACTCTAACAGCTGATTATATATATATGACTAAATATTTGACTATAAAACTCAAACAGCTCCTAATTATTTCTGATGCTATGAGAAGAACTCTTAGCTCCAATCAGGAAGTAATTTGTGTAAACAAACTAATTATTTAGAAACCATGAATAAACAAATTTTTAATTGAGGTTTTAAGCTCTGGACCAGTCCCTATCCCCAAATTAAAATTAAATACATGAAATCATAATGCAAACTTTTACTGGTCAGAATCAGTTTTCCTGATTTTGCCTACGTGAGGAATCTCTTTATTGAAGAGAGAAAATAAATTACACAGAAAATTCTACCAGAGTACTAATCTGAGGAAAAGGACTATATAGGTAGTATGTCACCCAACTGAACACCACAGTTGAATGAGGACTCAATGTCAGAAAAATATCTGCAAAACTTTACCGATGGATTCTGATGTGGGTCTGAAGAGAACTCTTTGCTGTGAAAGATTTGCCACAGATTTCACAAGTAAATGGCTTCTCACCTAAAAAAAGGAAAGCATTTAGAAATATACATTCAGCGAAAGAAACGCAAAAACCACCCCACAGTTTCACAATATAAAAAAGAACAATGGCAGCATCATTTGAACTCTCAATAAGCATGAAGAATAAATGAAGCACTTACTAAGTACCTACAATGTACTAAACCACTGTATCCTAAGTGCTAAGAGGATACAAACAGAAGTGTAAGGCACGGTTCTTTGTCTTTAAAACTGGGCAAGGAGGTGACACAGGAAACAAAGGAACACACAGTATTTACTCCTGTATTTTTCACCTTTAGATATAACAGCTTTAGATATAACAGCAACTTACATTCTCTTACCTTATAGTTTCCAAAGAACTTCCTATAAAGATTAGCCTACCTGACCCTCAAAAGGACCCCTGCGCACTAGGATGATTATATATTACTCACATTTATATCTCTCTTCCAAATATATACAGAATCTGACCCTTCTCACCACCTTTCCTGCCAGCCTCTGGTCCTCTTAACTGGTCTCCTGCTTCTGCTCTTGCTTCCTGAGATCTTCTATCAATGCAGCACCACAGGGATCGTTCAGATCATTTCACACTTCTACTGTGAACTCTGTAGTAGTTCCCCATCCCAAGATAAAAGCCAAAGTCCTTGTTCTACAAGGAACCACAGATCTAAACCTCTCACTTCTCCATTTGTCTTTACACTCATCTACCACTTCCCCTGGTCGACCGCACTCCAGCCTCTCTGGCATCATTGATGGCCCCTCAACACCACACCCCAAACAACTCCTCGCTCAGGGCCTTTGCACTCACTGTTCCCTCTACCTGGTGTATCTCCTCCAGGGGTCTCCCCGTATGGCTCACTCGATCATCTCTACTAAACCAAAAAAAAAAAAAAAAAGAAACCCAAACCCATTGCATCGAGTTGATTCTGACTCAGAGCTACCTTACAGGACAGAGTATAACTGCTTCATGGGGTTAAACCAAACCCACTGACATCGAGGTGATTCCGACTCATACCAACCCTATATGCCTTTGTCAAATGTTACTTTACCAGGGAGATTTTATCAGTAGCCCCTGCCCCTAAAGCATTCCTTGGTTTGCCTCTCTACTTTAGTTTTCCCATAATGCTATCACCATCTCATATACTATATGTTTTATTTGTTTATTGTCTAGCTCACATTATTCTTATGTAAGATGATTTACGGATTTGTTCCCCTAGTTTCCCAGTGCCTAGAATAGGACCTGGCACACTGCTCAAGAAATCCCTGTTGAATGAATGAATTTCACAGATGTGGAAACTGAGGTCCACACAGAAGTCACGGCTGTTCCCAATCTCATTATGTTTTATTAATATCAGCAAGCATCAGCGTTAATTTGTATACTGCACATACAACGACAGACTATTCATGCCCTCCAGAAACAAAATTAAGTGATCCCAATGCTGGCAAAGGAACTAGGAAATAAACAAACAAACAAACAAACAAAAAACGAAAGCAGCAGAATCCCACTTAACCAGATAATGGCAAGGGATGAGTATAATTTGAAGTGGAGGAAGGGTAGCTAGCTTTCCTTTTCACATCTACTGGAAAATTTAAGGTATCCTGGTGGCACAACAGCTAAGCGCTTGGCTGTTAACTGAAAGGTTGGCAGTTTGAACCCAACCAGCAACTCCACGGGAGAAAGAACTCGGCAATCTGCTCCCATAAAGATTACAGCCAAGAAAATCCTACGGGGCAGTTCTACTGTCACATGAGATCGTATGAGTTGGACTCGACGACGCCCAACAACTGGAAAATTCAGGCTGGACATTTCTCTAAGCTCCATCTGGGCAGAGGACACTTGTTAACAACTTGGACAAGTTTGCACCTTTACATTGTTAACTCAACTGTCATTATTTTTCCATAGCTTTCCGAATTAGGGGGCGCAGATGTTAAGTGTTAGGCTGCTAACTAAAAGGTTGGCAGTTCAAATCTACCAGCTACTCCTTGGAAACCCTATGGGGCAGTTCTACTCTGTCCTTCAGGGTCACTACGAGTTGGAATCAGCTCAATGGCAACAGGTTTAGTTCTTTCCAAATTAGAGCACTTGGGGCCTATTATGATCTTGGTTTTCTCCCTCTCCAGATTGCAAGACAGGGGGCCTGCTCTGTTTATCTATGATTGTAAAGTTCTGTGAAGCTCTGTCTCTGAGACTGACTTATTCATAACTAAACACTCAAAAAGAAAAAATCTGGGTTTACAACACCTCAGAACATTTTTCTCCTGGCTAATGTTTTTTTAAGGACCAATGTTCAAAACAATAGAAATTCCTTCCCGAAACAACATTCTCTGGCTGAAGCTCTTTGAGAGAGCGAGCAGGACAGTTAAGACACATTTTCCTAGCCCAGGTGAATCTGGGGAAGTTTTCCTGTTCCCCCAGCTTCTAATTTATCCTTCTGATAACAGGGTTACACAGCATACTACCTTCAGTTGATTACCCACTCCTTTTTAAGGTTATTCAGTTCTAAAACACTGACAGACCATCTCCAAAGTACTAAACATTGAGCTAAGAAACAGAAAAGACACAGAAGACATGCTTACTGCCTCAAAACTAATTCCCAGTCTATCTGACAAGATACACAAGTAATCAAGTAACATAGGGCTGTATCTGACTAAACATTAAAATGAATGGTATCAACGATGTTGAGTTCAGACAAGCTGATGGATATGGGTTGAGGCACGATGTGCTAGAATGGACACATGGAACAGCAATTCGGACCAGAGTATCTGTATACACAGTGTGACCAAAAAGCCGGTGTTGGAAATGACCACATGGTGTGGATGAGAAGGATAGGGATTCACTCTGAAGAGTGGTGGAGCAAAAAGGTGAGGCCAGGCCATGAAGGGCCATAAATTCCAGGCAGAGGACATGTGGAGCCTCTGGAAGTTTTCGGCAGAACAACATGACAAAAATACTAAGCAGATGAACCTATGGGTAGGGTGGACTGAGAGGCTGAGGTTGGAGGCAGTAGTATCAGGCAGGACTTCCTGCAGTAGTCTACACATTAGGTGTTAAGGTAGCAGGGGGTGGATGGAGAAGGAAGAAAAGATGAGGTGACAGGGCCTGGGTGGCAGTGGGACCTGAAGGAAGTTTGTTACAGGAGGATTAGACAAAGGTGGTTAAAGGAAAGGGCAAAGACACAAATATGACTCTAAAGGTTCCACTCACGGGGATGCTGACACTGTTTAAGCAACTTAAGATTTCCTTCTAGACCTTCTTCTTAGCAATATACTCCACTGACCTCACCCCCACCCTGATGACTGTAAATACCACCCCCTCCTCTCCCTATGGAGCCCTGGTGCCGCAGTGGTTAAGAGCTACGGCTGCAACCAAAAGGTCGGCAGTTCGAATCCACCAGCCGCTCTTTGGAAACCCTATGGGGCAGCTCTACCCTGTCATATAGGGATGCTATGAGTCAGAATTGACTCAACGGCAGTGGGTTTGGGTTTTTTTTCTCCCCCTATAGCTGCAAGTGGCATAGCGGTTAAGTGCTATGGCTGCAACCAAATGGTCAGCAGTTTGAATCCACCAGCCGCTCCCTGGAAACTCTATGGGGGCAGTTCTACTCTGTCCTATAGGGTCGCTATGAGTCAGTCGACTCGACAGCAATGTTTTTTTTTTTTTTTTTAAATATAGCTCCAAGTAGTACCTACTACTGTTTGTTGGGCATCACCAGCTGGATTCCCACAGTCACCCCTGAAACCAGAAGTAGCTTTCTTGGTTACTGGCAGCCCCAGTGAGGCATAACAGCCATTAGGATGCTTCCAGTTCTCTCTCCCCTCTTATGTTCAACTGGTAATCTAGTTTTAAACATTTTAACTGCAAAGTATCCTTCTTCCCACTGTGGAATATAGCTTTGTTTTTATTAAAAAATTACTCATGTTCACTGTAAAAGAATCAAGTAATATTGAAAAGTACAGAGCGTAAGAACCACTCCAAATTCTCTTCTTTTGAGACAGCCAGTTAACACTGTGATGAATGTCTTTACAGACATCTCTTTGGGCATTTACACGAGTACACAATTTTACACCCGTGACATCATCCAGTACATGCTGTTCTGCAGTGTCAAACAAAGCCACACCATCATTTTAAAAGGCTGCATTGTGCTCCATTGCATATACTGCCCAAATTTTACTTAACTAATCCCTTACTGATGGATATGTAGGACATTTTTAAGCATGTGACATCATAAACAATCCTATGATGACTATCCTTATGCAAACATCTTTTTATAACTGGACAGTTTACATTTTGATACATATTGCCCAAGTGCTTTCCAGAAAGTTCCTGAAATATATTCCTACCAACCAGAAAACCCAAACTAAACCTATTACCATCGAGTCAATTCCGACTCATAGTGACCGTACAGGACAGAGCAGAACTGCCCCATTGGGTTTCCAAGGAGCTGCTGGTGGATTCAAACTGCCAACCTTCTGGTTAGCAGTCAACAGTACATAAAAATGCCTGCTTCCTTGCAGATCTGCCAATCTAATGGGGGAAAAAAAAGCATGCTTCCTCTTCTCTGATGATTAATGCAGTTGAACATTGTTTTTACACGTCTCTGGCCCTTCCTACATCTTCTTCTGTGAAGTTCCTTTCTTTTGACTAATTTTTTATTGGAGTGCTCACTTTTTACTCATTTGGGACATTAACACTTTGTCATGTAGGTAGCAAATATTTTTTCACAGACTAAACATCTCTTAAACACATCTCTTCGTTTCACTCCCTTGACCTGCAGGCTTTCATCTTTCTTCCCTGAAGAGCCTCCCACTTGGTTCATCCCCAGAAACTTTTCTCTCTGTCCATCTTCCTGGGACATCCTGAGTTCTTTCCAATACACAAATCAAAACACACAATCCACAAATCCTCCTCCCTGTTTAACATCTTTCATGGTCCTCCTCCTCCCGGCACTGCACCTGTCTTCACTACGGGCCGGGCCCACTGTTGGCAATCCCACCCTACCTGCCCCTGTGGATTCCCTCACTGCGGCCCCGGCTCTCACATCCTCAGGCTTTGGATACTCTGTTCCTGCCTGGAACTCCTCTTTCCACTTCTTTTGTCCATCCAGAGCTGACTCCCTTTCTCTGGAATGCTTTCTCAGGGAAAGTGAATCACTTCATCACACTGTGAGCACATCTCTACCATGGCTCTTTACAATGCTATACTAAGATTCTGAAGAGATGGCATGTGGACTCTGAAAGGGTATGTTATAGCAAGGGGCCTCCAGATCTCAGGAACATGGGAATGAGGAACATTAATAGAGGATCCGGAAAAAAGTAGCTGAGGAGATTCAGGAAGCTTCCAACGTAATCCAAAGAAATGAGGCATACTATCTTAAAAAGAAGGAAAAAAAGCTGTGACTTAATTAACTTTCTTATGTGTTATTAGGCAGGGCAATCTACACAAGTGGGAGCCCACAGGGTAGGAATCAGAGTCTAAAACCATCTGAGAGAGAGACCCTGGAGTGGTGGGACTGTGCTGTGGGGTCAGCTGGCTGACCAGGCTTCTCCATGGCCTTGACTAATTCTCCTGACTTGCCCACAGCTCGCCAAGCAACCTTCTAATTACTAACTTGGCTCTCAGGTACAATGATGTCAGCAAGGAAATACCGCAGGCAAGGGAAAGGTGTAGTCCCTTTCTTACATTAATAAATACATCTGCTGGTTAATTGGTCCTGTGAGTTTGCTTGGCTTGCTTGACTTAGTCCCTGGGAGACTGACTCCAGGTACAGGGGCAAGATCTAGTCCCTGAGCTGTGGTGACCTCACGGGCATTGCCTGCCTGCCTGCCACTTTGCCTCCATTTCCAAACATGTCCATGCCCCTCATGGACAATACTCTCTTAATAGACATCTCTTATTTATCTTTGACTTCCCTAGTACTTGGTGCAGTACATCTAACCCAGAGTTTGCACTTAAAGAACTAAGAGATGACAATCTCACTTTCTAACAGAGCATGCCCTGCTGCAGCAATCAGTGCTTCTTGCCCTGGCCCTCTCAGTACGGCCTGCCTCCTCAATCAGCTAACACCACTGTCTGCAAAGGTGAGCACAGCTCCACAGGAAGCTTCTCCCTACACATCCCACATAACGCCCGGGGAGCAGGGAAGTGGCACACCAGTTCTTTCCAATGCCAACAAATACTGGGCATATTCTCTGTGCTAGGGACAGATGAGTAACAGTCCCTGACCTCTATGAGCCCACTTCTCTGTGTGTGTATGTAAACATGTAACAAAACATTTGCCACTTCAACATTCTTCACATGCACAGTTCAGTGACGTTATGTTCAGCATGTTGTTCAAGCAACACCCTTATCTGTTCCCAAATATTTCCATCGAGCCCAATTTTTTGATGGATTCGATTTCTTTTCTGATTCTTAAGTCATACAAACTACGTCACGGAACCCTTTCTGCCTCCTTTTTACCCATCACAATCTTCCATGTTCTTCTTCTGCGTTTAGTTTGCTGGAATTATAAGGGAGACAACTTGTGTTCCTTTTCATTCTTATTTTCAAGACCTCATTCTACTCAAAAGACCAGAAACACCCCTAACTCATATGTTTAAAAGACAAAAACTGAGACAGCATGTTTCACCTCTGCACTACTCAGCCAGACCAAGCCACCTCCGCTCTTCTCCGGCCACACTCAACCCCCAGGTGTTCTTATCACAGTTTCACATACTGTTTACAGGCTGATGAGTAAGTGTGTAAATGCCTATCTCTGGCTTGCACCTCTGCCCTGCACTCCAGACTCAAGTACCAACAACCTACTCCACATCTGCACTTGGATGTCAAATAGACATCTCAGGCCCAACATGTTCAAAATCTAACTCTTGATTTGTTCCTCCCACACTCTTCCCCAGTTTTTCATTCTTCTAGTTGCTTTTGCCTCCTTTTTCTTTCACTCATACCCCCCACACCCCACATCCAGCCAAGTTGACTCTTCCTTCAAAATATATCCAGAATCGGACTACCTGTCACTATTTCCACTGCTGCCACACTGAGCCAAGCCACCACCCTCTCTCTCCCCTGGATTACCACAACAGCCTCCAAATGGATCTCTCTGCTTCTATCCTGGCCATCCCTTACCCCATCCCACATGGTAGCTGCAGTGATCCTATTAAAATTCTCAGTCACATCATGTTGCTACTCTCCTTAAAGCCTTAAATACAATCCAGTCTTCACTGTGATCTTCCAGGTTCTTAAGCCTTCTTGTTAGGTGCCGCTGAGTCGATTTCAACTCACAGCAATTCCATGTGACAGAGTAGAACTGCCCCATAAGGATTTCTAGGCTGTAATCTTTATGGGAGCAGATTGCCAAGTCTTTTCTCCTGCAAAGCTGCTGGGTGGGTTCGAACTGGCAACCTTTTGGTTAGTAGGTGAATGCTTAACTGTTGCGCCACCAGGGCTTCTTTCTTAAGCCTAAGAACACACTAGAATCACCTGGGGAGCTTTTAAAACTACCTACTCTGAAGCTCTACCCCAGATCAATTTAATCAGAATCTCGGGTTGGGACCAGGTTTTTCTTTTTCAGCTTCTCAGGTGGGTAAAGCTGCAGCTAAGGTGAATGAAAACCCTCACACTACATAGACTCCAGCTGCCTCTCATTTCTACTTACACCACTCCCTCCTTCTGCCTTGGCCCCTCCTGCCTCCTGGCATTTCTCCAGCAGGTCAGCTGCACTCCTGTCTCAGGGCTATGCACTTGCTGTTTCCTCTGCCTAGCATGTTTTTCTCCTGGATATCCACAGTGGCTCGCTCTACATTGCATTTGATCTCCACCTAAGAAGCCACCTCATCAGTAAGGCCTTCCCAGATCAGCCCCACACAACAGCTCCCCTTCCTGGGCTCTGTCCTCTTACTCTACATTTTATTTCTTCATAGCATTTATCTACCACCTACACGTTAACATATTTATTTGCTCTTTGTCTCCCCTGCTAGAATATTAGCCTCTTAAGAGCAAGGGCTCTCTCCACCTCATTCATTGCTACATCCTCAGGGCCTAGAACAGTGCCTGGTGACCAATGAATACTAGTCAAATTCACTCGTAGAATGAATTAAATTTCACAGAACCCATTAATGACAATGTTTATGGAAAGACTGTGGATATGAAACTCATACCCTGTGACATTTACTGACTTTATGAAGAATAACTTGTGTTTAAAAAAATTGTCCAAAGCCACATAAACCAGTTTGACATGTATTTTTGGTAGATACTTTAACAGAACCATTAAGTAATCAACCTAAAATGGAAAATTTTTCTTAGGAAATCTAAGAGGCTTATTTTTAGGAAGTGCTCTTTGCCAAAAAGTTTAGAGACCCACATTTCTACATTTCTACATTTCTGATCTTCAGTGAAAGAATCTGAGCTGCGCTAATCAGTCCTGCCTCCTCTTCATCCCTGAGGCTGACTTTTCTAGAGGCTGCAATACTCACATAAGCGCTGATTCTAGAAGAAACTGGAAAAATTCTTAGTGCCTATGCTACCTTTTTGCATGCTTCATTTTCCTTCCTCTTCTAAAAAAAGCTATCTTGATAATCTTCAATGCTGAAGTAAATGAGTCAAACACAAAACGTGACTCAGACTTGTACCGTTTTATCGTATTAAATGAATTTCCACACACAGAAAGTGCTCAGTAAGTGATTTCCATTTTACTAATTTACAAAGAGATGTAAACTTTCCCACAGAACAGTGCTAACAGCATTCTGCTTGGGCTTTTTAAATGATCTACTTGTAAAATTCCCAACCAATTTATAATAAATATTTCCAACCACAGTCTGAGGAGGGGACTCAAAGCGCTTCATTCATCAATCTCCTGAAAACATAAAATGTACTAGAAAGGAACGAGGAGATGGAGTTTACCTGTGTGTGTTCGTAGATGTTTCTTTAGCTGAGACACATCCATGAATTTGCGATGGCAGTGGTTACATTCCGGTAATGAGTGGCCTTGTCGCAACAATAAAAAAAGTGTCAGTGCATATATGCTCTCCCTGCATTTCTTCAGTGATTTGTGTTAAAGCACTTCCCTGAAAAATAATCACTTTAAATATGGTATTTTAATAAAACAACATTAACTTTTTAAAAATTAATTTGGTAACAGTTAATATTCTCCTATGTACCCTAACTCATGAGAATACACTGCTTCCCCAAGAGAGCTGGGACCCTTCCAGTCTTCCTAAATATAACCTCCTTTTTTGTCAAAGCACTGGTGCGGCTATGGTCAAATGATCTCAAATGACATTCCCAACCCCTCTTTTCCTTTCTTATCAGTTGACAAGAAAGAAAAAAGGACAATGGGTAGAGCCAGGTGGGAGAAGGCCACGACTGAGAGCCATGGTATGCTGACGTCTCTGTCTGGCCACCACTAGCGACCAATTACCTGGCGCCCTCTTAGTCAAGCATCGCTTTTGAAAGACACCAATTCTGCAGGGTTTCTGTGTGCCACACAAAAACCACAGTATAAAAATTAAATATAAATCGGATGATAGTAGAGAATAACAAAAGGACATCTAATTTAGATTGCTTTTAAGATCTTTTCCCCTTAACATTCCCTTATCATCTACAATTTGAATCTAATGTTTCAGAAACTATTAATTTGTATCTGCGTTCCCCCCAGTCCAAATTTTCTCCTACTTTACTGTACCTGTATGGACTCGGTAATGGCTCTTTAGTTGTCTTTTCTGGCTGAAATACTTTCCACATTGATCACAGGTAAAGGACTTCTGTCCTGCCGGGGGAAAAAAAAAAAACACTAAAACTTGCAAAAACTATACAGAACTAGAATGCTCACTAACAAGGTAAATACCACAGTGGGCCCAGGTGCCCATTTTCCACAAAATAATACAAGTGACTTGTCTGCAAACCGAAATGCCTTCAGAGTTTATGGCAGTAACATAAATGTGCAAAAGCGTGTGAGGCAATAGGGAGTGGTGGAGACTGAGGCAGAACTGGAGAATTCAGGTTTCCCTCAAAGGCATTCAACGTGAAATAATTCTAACCTCTGGTGGTTAAACAAAACATATTTGCGCACTGAAGTCCCAGTAGGCAGTGTACAAGCCCTAGTTTTGTGCAGAACTCTAAGCTACACTGTGACAGATGCATAATTCCACCTTTCTAAGACACTACGTGGGAAATGATACCAAGCTGAGAGAAGACCACTTAGATTTCAGGTATGTCCACCCAGGGAATGGGAGACTGGTGGCAGCTGGACCCCCCGGTGCAAGCAGGGCTACCTGAATGAAGGCTCATGTGCTCCAGCAGCGAGTGTTTGGTGGTCAGAGCTTTGCTACACACAGTGCAGGTGTACGGCCGCTCGCCGGTGTGCATCCTGGTGTGGACCTGCAGGGAGTGCTTCTGGGCAAAACCTTTTCCACACTCATTACATTTGAAAGGTCGCTCCCCTGGAACAAGAGCCCCAGAAGCATGGTGTTAAGTAAGAATCCTCTGCCTTTCCCTCCCAAATTAAAATGACAATAAAGGGTTCTCTCTTGAAAGGCATAGATCCCAAAGGACAATGAACAGGAAGAGAACATCAGCAATATAATTTTGGAAGCAGGAACAGGCGAATTTGAAGCCAGCAGTGAGGAGACTGGAGACCAAATCTAATTTTTAAGACTGAGCCTCCAAAAGTCTTAGGAATTGGTGGCATGTGATAACTCTGAAAACGGGGGTGACTAAGGGCAGCTGACAGTCTGTGTCAAAGGCAGTTAGCACCCCCCCATCCCCACCCCGATCTAGTCCCCCATTCCATGTAGCCAGTAGACTGGCCCTCCCCTAAACAGAAGATGGAGAGTATTCTCTGAAGAGGGTAAAACAAAGGGTCTCTGGATTGGAGGTCACCAGGCACAGCTGAGTGGGACTACCACAGGGAGAGCAAGCCAAAATTCACATCTGAGATAATGACACCTCCCTGGCCTTCTTCCCCCTCGTGCTCCAGGACACTGGCAGCCAGACCTAGAGCCTCCAAGTGGGACAGCAGAAACGTCTTCTCCTGGAATGTGAAGGGGCCAAGGTAAGAGAGTTCAAGATTCCGATGCCAGGCATGAGCAAGGAAAGGGGTCCAGCCACACCAAGTCCAGTGAGGCCACTGGCTGCAGGCCCTATCCACATTCGCAAAATTGCCACTTAGCTTTTTCTAACACTAAATATAAAAAAAAAAAAAAAAAAAAAAAGACCATTCTAGGAAAGTATTAGTAGCAGCAGAGACCAAAACACAGGAAAAGGCAACTTGCAGAAAACAAAGACAGTCCAGGGTGAAGAAAACACCAAAAATAAACAAACAAGTAGATGTTGTTATTAACATGCTCACAGAGGTAAGACAGTACATTGTGAAACAAATGCTATTAAAAAAAGAAAAATTAAAGAACAAAAAAGAGCTCCTAGACATAAAAAAATAAGATTAGAAAAGAAAAAAAGGGTTGAAAGATAAAGTGAAATTCCCCAGAAAGTAGAGCAAAAAATGAAGGAAAATATGAGAAAAGATAAGAAAGTCATACAGGAGTTCCAACATCCAAATAGCAGAAGTTCCAGAAAGTAAAGACAGAGAAAAATAACGGCGGGAAGGAAATCATCTATGAAATAATTCAAGAAAATTTTCTAGAACTGAAAGATATGAGTTATCAGACTATACAGACCTACCCGGTATCCACTCCAATGGAATAAAGCAGACCCACACTAAAGTGATTCACTGCAAAATTTCAGAATACCAGGGCAAAGGAAGATCCTACCTGCTGTTTTTCTTAATAAGCCTTTCTTAACTATGTAAACTCTCTAAACTCTGCACCTATATATCGCTGATAAAAATAATAACCAAACTTACAAAACAGAATTTATTAGTTCAATGAATACATACCAAGTGTCTACTTCTTTCAAAGTACCAGAATCCAGGCTCTCAACCTATTTGCACTTAAAATCCCTGAGGAGCTTTTAAAAACATTAAAACTCCAGACAACTGAACAGGAAGTTGTTGGGGTGGGACCCAGACACTGGTAGTTTTAGAAGCTCCCAGGTGACTGTAATGTGCAGTCAGGTCTAAACCACAGGTGTTAGATGCTGCTGGATGATAGGAGGAGACTTAAGTTCTAATGCCTACACTCAGGCTTACAATTAAACCAAGGGATATATGTTGTTGTTGTTAGCTGCCATCCAGTCGGCCCCGAGTCATGGCAACCTCACACCCAACAGGACTGGACCATTGGTATACATAGGGTTTTCACTGGCTGATTTTTCAGGAGCAGATCACCAGGTCTTTCTTCCTAGTCTGTCTTAGTCTGGAAGCTCTGCTGAAACCTGTTCAGCACTACAGCAACGCACAAGCCTCCACTGACAGGTAAGTGGTGGCTACGCTCGAGGTGCATCGGTTGGGAATTGAATCTGGGTTTCCTGTGTAGAAGGGAAGAACTCTGTCACTGAACCATCACTGCCCTCCAAAGGATATTAAAAAAACAAAAACAAAAAATACAAGTCGATTCCAACGCCCCATAGGGGTTCCAAGGAGCGGCTGGTGGATTCAAACTGTCAGCCTTTTGGTTAGCAGGAAAATGCTGAACCACGGCACTACCAGAGCCCCTATATAAGTGGTAACTAAAACCTGACCCAAAGCAGAGGCTTAAGGGTCTCGAGAGAGCGCAAAGGAGGAAGGGATATCAGCTACAGCTGTACTGTCCAATATGGTCGTTACTAGCTACATGTGGTTATTCAAATTTATATTAAATTTTTGAAAATTCAGCTGTACTTGCTACTAAGTGCTCCATAGCCAAATGTGTCTAGCGGCTGCTGTACTGGACAGTGCAGATATACGTATATATATATATATATATACACACACACATACGGGAGCCCTGGTAGCACAGTGGTTAAGAGCTGCAGCTGCTAAGCAAAAGGACAGCAGTTCGAATCCACCAGCTGTTCCTTGGAAACCCTATGGGTCAGCTCTACTCTGCTCTATAGGGTTGCTATGAGTTGGAATCAACTCGACAGCACACAACAATACACACGTTTACACACACACACACACACACATATATATATATATACATAAAATTGTCATAACAACAGGTTCTATTGGCCAGCACTGGCTAGAGGGACCAAAAGGAAGAAAGCATTTATGGCTGGATGGCTGTGTGAGAAAGCCGTCCAGACAGAAGAAACAACCTGAGCAAAAGCATAGTTGTGGTTAAGAATAAAGCATGTTCAAGAATCAGAAAGCAGAGTAAGTTTGGCTAGAGCTTGATACCTGTAAATTAAGGCTAAAAAGTTCAGCTGGAAACATAACTTAGATGGCCTTGAACCAACAATAACTCCAAATAAGAACAGGGGTTCTGGAATCAGGCTACCTGGGTTCAAATTCCAGCTGTCACTAAATGTGTGACCATAGGCAGGTTACTTAAGCCTTCTAGGACTTGGTCTCTTCATCTGTTCAATGGGGGATATTACCTGCCTCATAGAATTGCCGTGAGAATTAACTACAATAACACGTATAAAGGCTTTCGTACAATGTGTGTCACAATAAATTGTGTTGCACAATAAATCATAGCTATTATTATCATTCACCACCATCAGTTTATGGTACTATGGTGGCTTGCATGCTGCTATGCCAGAAACTATATCCCTAGTATATCAAATACCAGCAGGGTCACCCATGCTGGACAGGTTCAGTGGAGCTTCCAGACTAAGACAAACTAGGAATCTGGCAATCTACTTCCAAAAATGAGCCAATGAAAACTTTATGGACCGCAGTAGGACTTTGTCCAACCTGCTTGCTTTGGACACGTCATCAGGAAGGATCAATTGCTAGAGGAGGACATTGTGTTTGCTGAAGTAGAGCGCCAACAAGGGCATGGAAGACCCTTGGTGAGATGGATTGGCACAACAGCCGCAACGACAGATTCAAACATGCTGGCAATTGTGAGGGGGACACAGGACCAGGCAACATTTTGTTCTGTTGTATGTAAGACAGCCATGAGTCAGAGTCGACTCAACAGCAGCTAACAACAACATTATTATTATCTTTACTACACCAAATTCCAAAACACATTCCAATAAGCTACAAAAGTGTAATTACCAGTGTGACTCCTCTGGTGGATTGCTAAAAAGTGATTGTACTTAAAGACTTTGCCACAGTCTTTACAGCGGGCCTCTGGGCCAGGGTGTTTTCTCCTTCCAGTGTTTCCACAGACGTTTTTGGCAGAACCTTGGTCATCTTCATCCCCAACAAGTTTGTAATCTCTAAGTTTGACAGATCTCCGAATTCTCCGCTTGCTGTACCGACTCTGGTTGTCCTGCCCATCCTGGGTCTTGGGATCACAGTTCTCATCTTTTTCAGCTGGCATTACTTCCACTCCACCTGACTCACAAGTTGGCTGAGATTCTTCCATTTCTTTTGCTAGAATCTGTTGGTTCAGTATACCACTGTCTCCTTCTTTAGATATAAAATTTTGTCTATTTTGAACAGAATTGTTCACTCTTAGCTGTATTTCCTCCTCTGCAGCCAGTCCTGATTTTCCCTCCTGCAAACTGTTGACTTTTCTTGGTCTGCCCCGTTTCCGCTTGGGAGGATCATTTTTCTTATTAGAAATAACAACCACTGGAGCACCGGCAGTGTTCAAAGTCGCTGGCTTTGAGGAGCTATCGTTATTCTGAAAGTCTGTGTAAGCCTTTACCAGGTCATAGACTTTTAAGAACCGAGCAGTTGCCAGGATTTGTTCTGTAGTTTTCTCACTAGCATGAAGATAACCTGTATAGATGAATTCCAGTAGCATACTAAACGTGTCAGCAACCATGCCTTCCAGCATATAAATGGACTGGCCGATCTCCCCCTCTTCAGCAAACATCATTGAGAAGTATTCACTACTGGCAGCAAGTAAGGCTTTGTGGGCCCGGAAATGCACATTCTCCACGATTAAAGTGATGTCACACAGAAAGCCCTTCTTCCTCTGATCCTCAAAACTGGCCAGGATGGAGTCACTGTGAGTGTCTGAGTGGACAACAAGATGTCCAGAAGGCTGCTCTGATGCTTCTGCCATTTTCTTTATAAGTTAAGGCTTAAACCTGAAATAAGAAACTATTGAAAAAGCAGGAAGCATCATCTAATAAGGTTAATCCCAACGCAAATGAACCTGTTATTCACGTTGTGAACCCCATTTTACCATTTATATTTTAAAAAGTCAATTTAAAAAACTTAGCTTTTGAGTTCTCATTCCTGTTGTACCGTTAACTATCTGGGTGAAATCCCAATATCCATGTAATCTTTCAGGGTCTGTTTTCTCCTCCGTAAAATTAAGGAATTGGGATCGACCATCTTTGTCTGACTGCATACCTATGGGAATGAGAACTGCACTGTCTCAATTTCAATTATTACTAACCATTTCGTCAGTGAAATTTAAATATGAAAAAGGTAAAGAAAATGTACATATGCAAAGTGAATCTTGGGGTAGCTGCAATGTAATAATAGTAACGTAAGCTGCATCAGCCTTGCTTTGGAAATGCAGCTTGCAACAGCCGGGCTGGCGTCAGAGGACGCGCGGAGTCAAGGGCGGGCGATTCCCCGGAGGCTGGGGCCGGTCAGGGAGAGAGCGGCAGCGCGAGGGAATCCGCGCCCGGGACCCTCGGCCTGACAGGGGAGTGGATGGCTGGGGAGAGGTCCACACGGCCGCGGGACCCGGCGCCCACGGATATTGGGCCCGGGGTGTACCTACCTTTCTGGTGCATCCGGCAGGGACCGGGTCCAGGTCGCAGCTGGAAGACGAGCGGCGTGGAGAGCGCACCGCGCCGGGGCAGCCCTGAACCTCAGCTCCGCGGCTCCTCCGCTGGGGCTTTAGCACCGCCCCAACTCCTACCTCTACGCCGCAGCCGCGGCCGCCGCCAACCCGGAAGCGCCGGCGCCGGGAGCCGCCTGCGCACAGACGCCTGACCACGTGGCTCGCGGAGACGCCCCCGGCGACGGGGCGGGGCGGGGCCGGCGCGGGAAGTTAGGCGTGAGGCACCACCCCCGGAGCCCAGGCGGGAATCGTTTTTTGGGGATGAAGTGGGGCCGCTGGGCAGGAGTGACGTTGTCACCGTGCATATTTGGAAGTTTCATGTAATAGTAGACTGCCAGTTCCTCCCCAGTGTCGAACCTGGCATTAAGTTCACACATGTGTGGGGAACGAATAAAATCGCTTTTACATTTATCATCATCATCATCTAATGATAATGATAATTATTATTTACCTCCTAAATCTGTTTCACATCTGCCCCCTCCTTTCTGTCTCCACTCCCCATTGTTTTGTCCAAAGCAGTGGAGAGCTGGAGTCAGACAGACCTGGGTACCGAGGAATCTCGGGTAGGTTAAACTCTTAATCTTGATTGATTTACGTGTAAAAAACCTGTAAAAGTGGAGATGTTAACACTATTGCCAACCTCATAGGGTTGCTGTGGTGTAAAGGAGATCATGTATACAATGGGCTTAGTGCCTGGTTTAATACATGTCTGTTATATTAAAATTAAGGACCCTGGTGGTGCAGTGGTTAAAGCACTCGGCTGCTAACTGAAAGCTGGCAGTTGAACTCATCAGGGGAGAAAGATGTGGCAGTCTGCTTCCCTAAAGATTACAGCCTTGGAAACCCTATGGGGCAGTCCTACTCTGTCCTAATAGAGTCGCTATGAGTCGGAATCCACCCGAGGCTCCTGCTTAGAATCCATCAAGGCTCTCAAGAGTAAATTCATAGCTTCTTAACATGATCTACGAGTCCCACCCATATCTAGTCCTGTCTTAGTCATCTAGTGCTGCTATCACAGAAATACCACAAGTGGATGGCTTTAATAAAGAGAGATTTATTTCTTCTCGGTAAAGTAGGCTAAAAGTCCAAATTCAGGGTGTTAGCTCCAGGGGAAGGCTTTCTGTTTCTGTCAGCCTTCTCATCAATCTTCCCCTGGACTAGGAGCTTCTCTGCATGGACCCCGGGTCCGAAGGACACGGTCTGCTCCTGGCACCGCTTTCTTGGTGGTATGAGGTTCCCCCCCGACCCCGGGTCTCTCTACTCCCTTCTCTTTTATATCTCAAAAGATTGCCTCAGGACACAATCCAATCTTGCAGATTGAGTCTTGCCTTACTAACACAACTGCCACCCATCCTACCTCATTAACATCATAGAGGCAGGATTTACAACATATAGGAAAATCACACGATACCAGGAATCATGGCCCAGCCATACTGATACATTTTTGGGGGGACATAATTCAATCCATGACAAGTCCCTACCTACTTCTGTTTTTAACTGCATATTTCAGCACTTTCTCCATTTCATTTTATGCCTTGCCAATACCTAATTGCTTATAATTTACCCCCCCTTCTAGATCCCTAGGATGTCATCTGTAGCCTCCATGATTTTGAAACTGAAGGTATAATTAGAGCCTGCTTCTTTTAAATTTTTAATAGTTTTTATTAAAACTAGCTCTAGCCACATATGCCCCTTCTGTGAGGCTTCCCCTTCTTTCTGAATTGCCTTTAAATACTTGGATTTATGGGTCCAAGTGGGATAGGGGGGTGTTCTGCTTGACTTTTACAAGTCAGCGGGAAGAGAGGTCAATCCAATGACTTGCCTGATCCATTGCTTCTCGTTGCTGCAAGAGATTGCAGTAAAAACACTGGTCCTCCACAAATCCTCAATCCAACAGCTGAAGATGACTCAGAGGCGAGCTCAGCCAGGTGCTCCCACTCCCTCATTCGGTGACTGCTCACTAGAGCATAAGCTCTATGAAGAGAGGCAGGGTCTGGATCTTCTGGCATCGGCCACTCACAGCTGAGACTAGCTCTTTCTTAAAGGCAATTTTGTATAGGATGCACATTCACTTTTCCTGAAACTGTTTTTTTGGTTAAGGCCAGCTAGTCCACCCCAATAGGTCTCCTTAACTTTAATCTTGCAGTACAGGGCTTGGGCTGTCATTCATTCATCCAACAAATATTTACTGAGTTCCAAATAAGTGCCAGTCATTGAGTCAGGTGTTGATGATATAGCAACTAGCAAGGTCCTTACTCTCATGAATTTTACATTCTACTAAGGGGAGACAAGACAAAAATATAAGGAAACAAAGAATTTTAGAAAGCGTTAAGATTTATGAGGAGTGATGGAGACTGACGGGAAGCAAAGTCAGGATAGGGTGACATTTGAGCTGAGATGTGAATGATGGGGAGCCAGCTGTGTGACGATCTGAAATAAAAATGTTCTAGGCAAGGGAAATGCAAATGTAAAGGCTCTGCATCTGGAAATGAACTTGGTACATCTGAGGAACAGAAAAGCCTGTGTGGCTGGAGCACAATGAATGAGGGTGAGAGCAATAAAGGACAGTGAGAGTGGCACCAAGTGGGAGTGGAGGTAGGGTTGCCTGATTTAGCAAATAAAAATATAGAACGCCTAGTTAAATTTGAAGGAGCCCTGGTGGTGCAACGGTTAAGTGCTCAGCTGCAAACCCAGAAGTTGTTAGTTTGAACCCACCCAGCTGGTCTGTGGGAGAAAAGACCTAGAGATCTGCTTCTGTAAAGATTACAGCCAAGAAAACCCTATGGGGCAGTTATACTCTGTCACATGGGGTTGCTATGATTCAAAAATCAACTTGATAGCACCCAACAACAACAGTTAAATTTGAATTTCAGATAAACAAATAATATTACATGGGACATTCTTAGACTAAAAAATAATTCATTGTTTATCTGAGATTCTGATTTAGCTGGGTGTCCTGTATTTTATCTGACAATCTGAATTGAAAAGGATTTTGGGTTCTGATAACATGGGGAAGTTGAGATTATGAAAAATTCTCCCACTATGAGACAGCTAGAAATGACACAGAAAATGTATAACTGAGAGTACAGGAAAGTAAAGGAAATCCTAGGGACCAAAATGTAGAGGGAGTTGAAACCAGAGTAGTAAGTTAGCCTTGGAAATCCTAGGGAATTTACTAAAACCAGGGCCTAGAGGCTTAGGTTTTATGGGACATTGGGGCCAGGACAAAAAGCATTTGGTATGTGTGTGGTTGAGAGTTAGAACAGAGACCTTCCCACACAAGTCAGGTCCCTCAAAAGGGATACAACCTCCATAGAGGAGTGGGCTAGGGGAAAAAAAAAAAAAATCTGCATACTGGCAAAGGGAGATGATAAGAAAATATATCTTTTTTGGCCTTGGCTCCAGGTGAGGGGGAAAGTCTCCTCTGAAAATTTGTGATTGGGCAGAATTTGAAAAAGAACTCCTTCCCACAAAAAACCTAGGAATTAAACTGTAATCAATGAAATTTAAACCTCAGTGGATAACATTTCAATAAAATTTACCCAGACGTACACACAAAACTCAATCGACAGGTGAAAGAACTGAAGAGGTTTAGTGATCCAGAAGATAGATCTGAAGAAATTGTCCAGAAAGCTAGTTTGAGATAAAGAAATGGATGAGAGGTAAAGAGATATGAAGAACAGTATGAGAATGATTTATCATGTAATGTAATTGGAATTCCAGTTGAAAGACTAGGAGGAATGGGAGACAGGCAATATTCTTGACTGCTGCTTCCATGGACATTGATTGTTGATCGAAGTAAAATGAAATCATTGACAACTTTTTGTCCATTTGGAGAGTATCGTGGTTATCTAGTGCTACTGTAACAGAAATACCATAGTGGATGGCTTTAACAAACGGAAGTTTATTCTCTCAGTCTAGTAGGCTAGAAGTCTAAATTAAGGGCATCAGCTCCAGGGGAAGGCTTTCTCTCTCTCTTGGCTCTGGAGGAAGGTGTCTGTCATCAATCTTCCCCTGGACTAGGAGCTTCTCTGCGCATGAACCTCAGGTCCAAAGGACACGCTCTGCTCCCAGTGCTGCTTTCTTGCTGGTATAACGTACCCCTGTCTCTCTGCTCACTTCTCTCTTTTATATCTCAAAAGAGATTGACTTAAGATAAAATCTAATCTTGTAAATTGAGCCCTGCTCATTAACATACCCGCTGCGAATCCCATCTCATCAGTATCATAGAGATAGGATTTATAACATGTAGGGAAATCACATCAGATAACAAAATGGTAGATAATCACACAATACTAGGAATCATGGCCTAGCCAAGTCGACAGATATTTTTGGGGGACAGAATTCAATCCACAACAGAGACTAAACAAACAGACAAGATATAAAATATTGAATGAAAATAACATTTAAGATGAGAGATAAGTCATTGGTATTCAATTGTTTTAAGGGAGAGATATTGATAATTACTTTTAGATATTAAGTATTCATGTTAAGAGTAGGGATGGCCACTTGGATAGAAATAGAGTGCATAAAATAAAAAACTAGAGGAGAAAAATGGAATTAAAAAATTCTTAGTCAACCCAAAAGAAGGAAGAAAAATGTAAAAAGGGTGGAGAGTACGTTGAAAATGTAGTCAGGGGCCAGATCATGTAAGGAGTATTATGCCAAGGGTATGAAGTTTGGATTTCATTCTAACTGAAATAGGAAGCCATTGGAAGATTTAAAAAAGGGACTGATGAAATTTGATTTATGGTTTTAAATATTACTCCAGCTTCTAGATGAAGAACCAATTGCCATTGAATTAATTCCTGATAGTGATCCTATAGGATGGGGTAGAACTACCCCATAGGGTTTCCAAGGCTGTAATCTTCACAGAAGCAGACTGCCACATCTTTCTCCTGCAGAGTGGCTGGTAGGTTTGAACAGCCAAGTGCTAACCACTGCACCACCAGGGCTCCTTTCTAGATGAAGAAAAACCAACACCATTGCTATAGAGTTGATTCTGACTCATAGTGACCCTATAGGACAAAGCAGAATTGCCCCATAGGATTTCCAAGGAGCAG